AGCTCAGCTTCTGTCATAGAGGTTGTGACTGTATCTTGCTTGCTTGCTTTCCAAGCAATCAAGCTGCAAATAACTTGATTGTATATCCTGCAGAGCTCTTTCTGTCGGTGTGTTGTCGGCAAAAGAGGCGTCGCTCGCGACTTCAAGTCGACTATCCCCGCCGAGCTCGAGCGCTCGATTTCTAGTGCTCTGCAGGTAGAGGAGAACTCGATCAGCTGCATCATAATGCTCCTGTCGGATTCATCAGAAAGCGTGCTAGTCGGTAGTGTCGCGAGATGCGATATCTGAACGAGTCGTCACAGCTGCAAACATTGGGGATCATCTTTCGCTGAGTACTTGTTAATTTCTAACGGGTAGCTAGGCTTCCACAAAGCTTAAGTTCAATAGCCGCCATTAGGTGTCGTGTCTAATGTCCTTTCTGTCGACTAAGCGACAATCTTATCCGCGTACGCAGCCACGAAACTGAATCTTACGCTGCTCTTAGTTTCTGATAACTTCAACTCAAGCCATTAAAGATCATCTCCACTTCAGTTGTTAAGTACTTGTCTCTAAGACGTTGAACAGCTTGTTGAACCTCCGTCTCCATTTGCTTGCTATAGGCAAGAATAATGTCGTCGACATGAGAATATAATAATTCTATCCTTAATCCAGACAGCATAGCTCGTGGGGAACGACTTGAAAGTTCAGGGTCTTAAGAGTCGATGTGAATTCCTTCTGCCAGAGGACTAGTAATATTCAGAGCCCATACAAGGCCTTGTTAACTTACAGCACTGTCCTAGGCCGATAGCCATGTGGCATTCTCATGTAGATCTCTCGGTCTATTGCTGCATAAACAGAAAACGTTCGTGACGTCGTACTGTCTAAGCTCAAGATCGAAATGAGCAGCGATCGCCGTTGGCATTCGAAACGACCGGCTCGCGAGTAGCTGCATAGGTTTCCCTAGAAGTAATATTTCTCTGTTAGTCTCCTCGGACGACTAATCGCGCCCCCAGCTCTTAAAAGCGATAGTCCTTGTCAGGCTTGTAGGTGTACACCATACAGTCTAGATCTATTAACCCTTTACTTTTACTTTCTTGCAGGCACTTTGGAGCTATAATTTTTATCTACTTATAACTCTTAAGATGCACTCTCTAGGCTTCCTTCCCCTAGTAGTCCCCTAAGCCCCGGATGTCCAGCTACACCTGCCTCTAGGTTAACAGTAGCGGTAGAAGTTAGTTAAGATAAGGCCTTAGTCCTTGTGCTAGCATTTGTTTATTTGAGCTTTATCTACTAGCCTGCCTTCGTATGTTTCTGATGTACCTAGCCTGTGTCTAGCTATAAACGTACGGCCTTCTATGGGACGGTCTTTGATAAGGCATCTAAGAGTCCTTAGTGTCTTCCTTGCTAAACGCCTGCTAGCATGGAAATGCGCAAGCAGAGCTACCGGCAGTGGAGTCACTAGTGGCGTAGGATGGCTGTGCCCTATCTTCCTTCCTTAGTAGTCTCCTGAGCTATTATATTCTTAGGTTAGCTTAGTATCCTGTGTTGTATCGTCTTTAAAGAAGCTTTAGTCTCTAGTTAATCGTAGGTAGCTCTAGAGAAAGCTTAGCAGATCTTACCCTATACAGCTATCTTATTTAGGTGCTGTGCATGGGTTGTCTATAATGTCTTCCTTCTTCTGTTAAACACTGTTTCTTTATTAAAACACGTCTTAAGTGCTAATTACCTTACCTATAGTTAGAATCTAGACTCTGTAGATATTAGACGACTGATATCTAACTGGGTAGCTAATCTAAGCTCGCGGATCAAGACGTTAGAGTCGTAATCTGCCCACTCGAAGGGTGTTATTAGTTAAGGCAAAGGCCTTACAGCTATATGCTTTTAGGTGTGCTAGGCTCGGCTTTCGGTGTTGTTACGATGCCGTTTTGGAGAAGCTGTAAATGTGAAGAAGACTTCGTATAGTGATTTCTAATGAATTTGATGGTTCGGCGTTCGATTGTATAGATACACCGCTGCCTGTGTAATCTCTAGCTACAGCTACTACGGCAAGTTTGCGTCTAGCCTTATCGCGCGAGTTTATCCTTAACTATACCCCCTAAAGCGTTTAGCACACTACTGTTCTGTGCTTAGGTATCTAGAGCTAAGAGCTCGAGTCGTATAACTTACGCAGTACACTATTATGCTACCTCTAGTTTTGTAGTTGTAATCTCACTATCGCATTTAATTACTTTAACAGCAATGTTGTACTGCTTCTTTAGGAACTGAACAATAATATCTAGGAGCCTAATAATTGACTTCTAGGTTAATTGTCCTTAAAGTAAAGTCCTATAGGATACTAGAGTATTAATTAGTAACGAGCATTTAACTCTTCTCCTTTGTCGAGCTTCCCTCCTTATACAAATAGAAATTAATAGCTAGTCTTTCTCTAGGGCCTTCGTAGTTTAATTAAGACGCGCGTTGAATTTGCTGCTTAGTTTTAGCTCTTCTGCACGCGTCGCACTTAACTGTTGTAACTCCCTTAATGCGCACCCCCTTAGATTGCTAGACTAGGTGTTCGATAGCTGCTGGCCCTAGATGTCCTATGCGTTTATACTAGCGCATCGCATTAGCTTTCTATAGTGCTCGCTTCGCTCGAGAATTAATTATTCTTGTGTAAAAGACTGCCTAGATTGCGTCTTGTTGCTCGAGTATCTATTATCTATGTGCTTCTTTTAGGCATGCGATCGTTAAGTCGTCTTGCCTCTTAAGAGTTGTTGGCTTATTCTTATTGTCCTACTACACGCCCTGTTGCCTAAGCAGTCTAAATGATACTAGATTGCATAGGATTTCTGGACACTATGCCACATCTTTTAGTATAAGCCTAGTTGGTCTATATAGACCTCTTAGGTTAAGCTACACTGTTCTATATCCTTGTATCTAAATTTTATTGTTCTAGCAAGCGTTATACAATCCGCCGTAACCAGGAGGACGCAGGCTTTAAAGTCGAGTTTAGTCGTTTGTGACGTAGATTGTTAAGCCCGAATTAAGGATAAAGGAGTGTCGTAGTAGGTAGTCTAAATACTTAGCTTAGAAAGATGCAGTAATAAACGCAGCATTAATTGTTATAACCTTCTAACCTTTAAGTTAGTTAGTAGATATCTTAGGCGTAGGAGTGTAAGAGTTCTTAAAGCTTAGTGTTTGTGTTCGTTGTCTTTTTAATGCCCTTACTTGTTCCTGTACATTAGAATTGTGTTGTAGGCGTAGCTTAACTAGCTTTAATATTAATTCCCTTAGCTTAAACTAGTCTAAGGTATTGTTATTGTTAATATAGAGGCAGTTAGCAAGAAGATAGCGTAGTCTACAAGTAGGGCATTTTGTACCTCTAGCTGCCGCTTTATCCTAATTCTAAGACTGCTTAGATATAGTTAATTGACTAGCTAGGCGTTTTTTTTAACGAGGACTTCCTCCTTAACCCCTATTTAGGTTAGTTAGATATGTAACTGTGGGCACAAGAGGCGTCCCTGTCGTGTCCTAGGTAGATACACTACTGCCAGCGAGATATAAAGCTTCACTTACAGCAAAAGCGCCCTTCTGCTGTCTCCCTTTTAGGTAGTATAAGCTTATGTAATCTTAGAAGCGTTTTATCATTTCTTTTTAATTTATTCCTAGCTCGCGTCTCCCTTAGTCTTAAAATGTTAGTACCTAGTTAAGGCTAACCTTACTAACTACGTTTAGGAAGTCTTAGATCACATAATTAAGTTTTTAGACTTCTCTAATTTCTTTAGTTTCTGCAATAGTTGCTGCGTAATTATACTTAGTTAGCTAGCTATCCTAATGTGTTAGTTGTCTTATTAGCTTTAAAGCTACAATGTATTAATCCCAAGCGCGCAGTTGTTCTTCTTTATCGTTAATGCTAACTGTGCTCTTTAGACTAGCTACCCATTCTTAGATTAAGAGCTTTAGTCTACAGCACGTCTTCTTTAGGTAGACAGAGACTGTTGCTTAAATGTAGACTAACAGCTTGTCTAACCTTGCATCTTCGTCTTTGTAGTTTGTTGCTGCAACTTTGTACAAGTTAAGTCGCGTGTGATGGGCTGGAGCCCAGTTGGTGAGTCCTCGATGATATCTCGGTCACGTGCGCGAGGCGCACTGTGCACAGATTCCGGGTGCCCCCCCTGAGCACCCGGATTCTGCGTAAGCGAGCCCGGCAGAAGGTTATCCCGAGCCGCCGCCCCCTGAACGACCTTCAGAACCCTAGCTACCTGTAGTTCTCTTCTCTATCGAATACAACTCCAGTATACCTGTGCGATAGCTCCCTGAGCGTAGCCCCTTACATCGCGTCTTGTAGTAATCTACATTAGTTTTAAAGGCAGTTTGTCTACTATTCGTTAAATTAGATAGGTTCGCTGGAGGCCGGTCTCCAATCGCCGCCCGTTTCTTATACGTTTCGATGTTTAGCTTGGTCGGAGGGGTCGGCTCTGTCTTCGGCACGGCATTGCTCGTAGGGTCGACGAGGTGCTAAACCCTAAGTGATAGGCATCTGGCTTCTAGCTGCTCGTACTAAGGCTTCTAGCTTATATAATCTGTGAGAATAATGTCGGAATTGCGGTTTGTTGGTTGCGCCATTGCTCTCGCGTAAGGTTAAGGCAGTGAGACTCTTAATTGTTAGATTAAATGCTAAAAATGAGCTCAGGAGAAGTTTATGATTGCGATGATAGATTATGTCTTAATCATTGTTCTTTTTCGTTAGTTTGTTCTCTCTCCTTTTTGAACATAAACCTGATACATCGGTGATACCTAGGTGATACATAGGTGATACCGTCCATGATGCAGTATCGCTTACTTCATCTGACAGCAGGTGGCCAGCTTCAGTGGGTGGCCAGCTTCGGTGGCCGCTAGCTTATATACGTGACCGGAGCGAGGTTGTGTAGATTATAGATCTACTGTTGACCTTGCTAGTAACACCCCGATTATTCAATTCCCTCATGTTAAAGTAGTTTTATTGTCAGCACGACTAGCGCTGATAGGTCCGTAGCGTCGGATCATGCCAGCGTCCAAACCTTGTTTGATTGCTGCCTGGCTAAGAACCCTCGCTTCGAAAAATGCTTGGCGTTGGTCCAATCATCGCGCGCTATAGCCGCTTGGATGACGTCGCGGGACTCGAGCATGAAGACCAGCATATCGGGGCAATTCTCCTCGTCGAGCCAATAATTGGAAAAGGCACCATACAAGCGAAACTTTGCCGCCCACATCATGAAGCTCGGATACGGATAGTGCAGCAGCACAGGCTGCTCTTCTGTTCCTCCCGCTGTCGTCCTGATAGGCAGGGTAATAGCGCTTCCTTGGTAGCCTTTGAAACGATGTACACCGTCGGGCTCGACGCCAGGACTAATCCGTAGGGCAGGCTTGCCGTTCCCGTATGCCATGAATGGGACGCTGTTTTGGTTGAGGGTGAACCAGATGCAGTCGATGAAAGGGTCTTGCGACTCTTGTGCTACAGGAATGGCTTCATGGTTGGTGAAGACGACGTGTCCGACATTTGAGCGTGTGCGCCAGCTACTGCCGCTACTGGTTGTGGTTGTATTATCTGCATCTTCGTACAGAATCTTGTCCTGGTCGATATGCAATAACCACCCAGCATCATGACTGTCGCTCTCGTCGCGCTGCACGTCTTTGGACCGAGCGTTACGTGCGTGCTTTGCGTCCGCTTCTCCGGCCCCGCCTCCATCCTGCAGCTCACGCAGTTGCTGCGGATGAAGCAATAGGGCAATGGCGTGCTTGAGGTTGCTGATTTGGCGGAGCATAAGTCGGTTTGGTGGAGACATAGTCGGTGCATCCGTCGCGCCCGCAAATAGTCTCACGCGCCGATCGCCACACAGCTGCTCGAATATGGGCTGCTTCGCGGGATCATCGAGATAGAGAAGGATGACATCGCAGCGCTGCAGGTGGTAGTCTAACCAGGCGACGAAGTTGGAAGCAGGGTTCAGCACAGTCGTGGCGATTGCGAGGGCCATGCTGCGCCGAGAGAGGAGCAGCGTGCAGCAAATGATGGGCGAGGATATAGAGAGGATGTTGAATGTGCCTCTCCACGTTCTTATGTGCAGGTGCTTATCCAGGTCAGTGTATGTGACTAAGTTTTTGCGCTTACCGCAACAGACTCGTCATCAACTTATATTTAATTCGTGACACCGTTGATTAGAAATCATATCAGCCAATCACCTGATCAAACGCAACTCCATACCGCAGCTACAGCCTTGTTCTAAGTCGACCATACACTTTTAGAGGAAAGCGTAAAGAGTGACAAAAGTGGTTAAACCGTCTAAATAGATGTATACGTCAAGAAAGTGAGAGGAGCCTAGCTAAGATACTGTCTTGCGAGCTGAGTGCCACGCATCCTCTGCCAATTTGAACAGACTTTGACCATCGCTTGCCACATTACACATGTCATAAAAAGCGCTGTTTTTGTCTTGAAGGAGCATCCATGGATGATCACATTCTTGCACCTTACCATCATCCAAAACCACTATTCTGTCATAATCGACTACTGTCCGAAGTCGATGCGCAATGGTAATGACAGTGGCGTCCAGGCCGCGCACGCAGTTTTGGATTAGGAGATCGGTCTCGTGATCGATGGAGGCAGTGGCCTCGTCCAGAACCACAATCTTTGGTGCTTTGAGAAGAGCGCGCGCGATACACACAAGCTGTCTCTGACCTTGGGATATGTTGGAACCGGAATCTGCAAGCGTGAAGGAAAGATCGGAGAACTTGCTCTGCTTCATTGTCGGGTCCAAGGTCTCGTCACCGTGTGTTGCAGTGTTCCGTAAGCCGACGCTTTTCAAAGCCATAAGCACCTCCGCATCGGAGTGTTCGTTGAGAAGGTCCAAATTGTACCGAAGCGTACCCGCGAAGAGGGTAGGGTCCTGGGGAACAATAGCAAGGCTGCGACGGAGAAGTCTCAGTCCAAGCTGCTTGATATCCACGTCGTCTATCAGGATCCGACCATCTTCTACCTCCAAGCCGCGCAGCAGAGTAAGCAACAAACTTGACTTACCCGCGCCTGTACGACCGACAATTCCCACGCGCTCTAGTGGTTTGGCGGTGAAGGTGACATTGCGAAGTACTGCTTCAGACCCAGGGGCATACCGAGCAGAGACATCTTGATATCGAATTTCACCCTGTGATGGCCAGCCTTGCATTAAGTTATCATTGTCAAGAACAACCGAAGCCTCTTGCGGCAGATTCATATATTCTTGTACACGGGTCAAACTGGCAACATTAGTAACGTGACGAAACTCAGAAGTGGACTTTTGAACTTACGCCATGATGTTGTTCAGGTTCGCTATATGATATCGAATGAGCCATAATACGTGTTCCGAAAACACAACGGCATACGACATGCTCAGTCCAATCGCACCTGGATGCAATTTGCCTCTCGTCGAAATGGCAAACAAGCCGGCGGAGAGTGAGACAAGGGCTCCCACCAGGCCAAGGCGGACGGCTAGCCATCTTTCCGTGGCTGCCAGAATGAACGATGATCGGTTTGCGTTATCAATCCGGATTAAGTTCCCAAATCGGTACTGATCAACAGCGCCAAAAGCACGGATGGTGGCAATGCCGGAGAGTGTCTCACTAAAATGTTGGGAAAGTGGCGCACGCTGTACTGAGTCAATGTGCTTGAGATCGCGTGTGCCACCTACGTACAAGGTCCCGATGATGCAATAAGCGATCCCGATGAAGATCCCAGGCACGATAAATGCTGGTGTGATGATGAGAATAAGTGTGGTGATCCCGAGCAGAGCTACGAGAAAATGTAGGGTTGCGACTGCCAGTACAGCCAAATCTTGGTCCACCATTTGCAAATCCCGGGAGAAACGATTGATAATTTGGCCGAACGCTGTTTTATCAAAAAAGTCGAACCTTGCGTTCATGATAGATCTTGTGAGTGTAGTGTGTATGCCGGAGGAAGCGTGGAGCGAGCCGTATGATATCAAGAGCAATCTGGCCATGCCGACGACCAGGAAAAGAGTGATGATAAGGCCGTATACTCCGAAGTAGTATGCAACACTGATATCCTGGGTGCTCTCTGTGGGCTGTATGGCACGCTCATGGCTCCTTGCAATGTATGCGTCACACAACACCCGAATCCACCAATTCGTACCGATAGTTCCGACTTGCTGGCCAACAAAAGCAAGGATGAGCATTGACCAGAAGCTCCAACTCCCCATAGAACGAAGATATTGGAGCACACTTACCCACGGGATTGAGCCGTGGTTCTCGGTCTTATCGGTTCCCGAGGCCTTCCCGCCAAACATGTCCGCAATTTTCCGTTGGACCAGCTCAAGGCTAGCTCTGGTGGGCTGTATTGGCCGCATGCTAGGGTTCAAGGAACTGATCGTCGGCCGAGAGAGTCCATTTTCGTCGTCGTCGTTACGGAGGGCAAGATTCTCAAACTCGGGATGTTGGTGTGAGCTCTTGATCACGCACGGGCTACCCGAAGTGATGATTTTTCCGCCCTCAAGAACCACGACAAAGTCGGCGTCGGCCCCGGTAAGTGCAATATCGTGTGTCGCTAGAATGACTGTCCGCCCTCTCACCAACGGCCCCATCAGGCATTTTTCGAAAATCCACGTACCGGTGTGCGAATCCACGGCTCCAAGGCAATCATCAAGAAGGATGTGATACGCGGTTGAATAAACGGCACGCGCTAACGCAATCCGCTGCTTCTGACCTCCAGAGAGAGAGAGACCGCGCTCACCGACTTGTGTGAGGTCGCCGTCAGCTAAAGCGTGCAGGTCAGGAACCAGCGCGCAAGCCTCCAGCACTGCTTGGTATCGTTCATCAACGTAGGAACTGCCGAATGTAATGTTGTTGCGGATTGTGTCGTTCATCAGCCATGCTTCTTGTGCACAGTATGCGACACCATCCACGAGCCCAGTCTTCGGGTCTACTGTCAACTTGTTACGATCCATGGTGGATGACGTAAGTATGCGACCCGAAATGGTGTTCATTTCGCCGAGGAGAGCCAAGAGCATGGAAGACTTGCCACTACCAGTGGCGCCAACAATGAGGTTTAGTTTCCCGACGGCGAAGTGAATGTCGAGATTGTTGAAGGTGAAGGCTGTACCACTAGATATGCCTTTTTTGATTTTTGTTTCTTGCGCATCAGAGGCTCGCTCCGCCACATCGCCCCATGAGATCGTTGCGTGCTCGAACCCGATTTGGCTGAAGCCTTCATGCTGTGTTTGCGCAAGAGCAACGTACTTCTCCGTCTCTTCCTCTTTTAAAAAGGTTTCGACCCGCTGAATCGACGAGAGGGTATCTTGAGTTCGGGTGATCATGCCGACTAAATCGTCTAACGGCATTTTCAAGAGGTTGAACAAAGATAGCGAGGTAAAGGCCAGTGATGGCGTGAGCGGGTTTCCAAGAACGGCTGAATACAGGAAAAAGGAAGCAAAGGAGATAAGCAGCGGCATGCCATACCAGATGCTAGCAGCAATAGACCATAGTATGTATCTCGAGCGCAGAGCTTTGAGTTCATGTCGCCTCTTCTCTTCGATTTGCTGCTCGAAATGGAGCTCCCATGCGAAAAGCTTGATGATGCGGATGCCTCGAATCACTTCAGTTGTGCTCTGAATCCTTTCATCCGTTGCAGCCATGACTTGCATCTGAATAGCACCAAATCGCTGAGCAATCCGCGAGTTCATAGGGACGACTCCCAACATCAACGCAACACCGGCGAAGATGCTAAAGCCCAAAGTTCTGTAGAGCAGGGCGATAGCGACAATGACCTGAACAGGTACGGAGCCCCAGACCTGGTGCATGTTGGCACCAGCATCAGCTACCCTGAACGCATCCGTGGTCAAAAAATTCAGAATGGTCCCGATATCTGCATGAGCCGGCTGGATACCATTGCTCGCCTGTTTCGCCGTTGCCTGAATGGCAGTAGGCCGTCTGAGCGCCTTTCCGTAAATCTCGCCGATCATTATCGATCGTAGACGGAAGCCAATCTTCTGCCCGAGCCAGATGGTTCTGCTTTCAGCTACTGAGGCTAGAAGACTAAAGGGGAAGAGTAGTGCGACACTGACCCAAACTTGATTGGCCGTGGTGTCCGTTGCGTGTTCGATGTGTTGCATGATAGACTGGAGCAGCAGGGTAGGGACGAAGGAGAGCAAGCCATACACGGCGGCCCAGACTGCTTGCAGGATCAGTGTGGTACGGAAGTGACGAATAAGACGCGACAATATGCCCTTGTCATTGTGCGTAGACTTCTCGAACGCTTGAGTGGTATGAGTGGCCGTTTCGAAGGGGCTCAGTGTGGGAATCTGAGCGGCGCTTAACGTGTTGTGATACCATGCTGTAAGCAGGATACTTTCGACCCAAGCAAAGCTCAGCATACCCAGGAGACTAGCGTGAGACTCTCTGGTCGCGTCAGGATAGCCGGCGCGATCGGCAGGAAGAGACCGAGGCCAAGAAAGGTGAATAAGGAGGAGAATGGTCGTCGTAGCGACGAGGCCGACGTCCGAGAGCGGCCAAGCCAAGTAATCATCATGGTAGAGGGGCCGAGTACCACATAGCCATGCGGCGACCAACCAGCGGACGGTACAGAGAAGGGCGGAAGTTTGTTTGGCTGCCAATCGAACATGAGAGGATGAAGCTGGGAGGCTTATACCGATCAAGTAGATGATGTTGAGATAGAACCAAAAGTAGGTATCAACGATGTTGAAGCGACTCTTGCGATTGCTCAAGGCGGTCGCAGCTGATGCTGCCAGCGTTACGCACTCGACTACCAAGAGGATACGGCGCCGCAAGGATTTGCGTCTAAGCAGGCTATCGAGGTTGGAGGTAGTAGAGATTCTGTCATGGTTGTGAACTACATCGTCTGGATCTGTGACGGTGAGTGGCCCAGCAGCGGACAGTCTCGATAGCTTCGCGGTAGAAGCGAAGCCCACGTAAAGCAACGAGGCGGCAACGGCCGTGATAAGAAGGCGGGGAAGGATGTTTCTATACAGAGGAGGGTAAAGTCAGCCACGAGTAGGGCCTTGAGAGAAGGGAGGCTTCGAGAGCATACTCATCAAACTCGTCAACACCGAGGGAGGCGAGCGCGTTAGCCTGCATGAATGCAGCGGTGTGCGCCATGATGAGTTGGAGTGGTTGCAGGTTTGGTACTGGACTGTTGGATACTTTTAGCTACGAGTGCGGCTTGATGTAATAGCAACCTATCTGAGTATGATGGAGCGTCTAAATCTGTTGAGGAGGAGCAAACGCGATACACCCTTCGTGTGTGATGTCAGCAACAGAAGCGAGGCTAAGAGCGGTCACTAGCGGGAACCAGCTTCGGGCCGCCATTGGCTATGCCTAAAGCTGACTACCGGTAAACATGGATACTACCCTCAAAGTCAAATACCCACTCGCCCCACAGCAACCCCACATCAACCCGCCAGCCTTCTCCTCTCGGACGTCGCATTAATGGATACCAAACTCACGACTCTACAGGTAGGTCTCATGTTGTCATAGTCCATCATTCTCTCGCCTTGCATATACCGATCGCTGGCTGCCGCCATTTGTTGCCAGATCGCGCGCATCGGCCGCATCACCTCGCTGCTAGTGCTGGTAGCCATCGGCATGACCATGTACGAATCTGCGCGCTTCCCGAGCCTCCAGGCTCTCGTATGCAGGGAGTTTCTGCTGAAGGCCGGCTCCAACGCCCTCGTTAATCCATGCGAATCGGACACGGTGCGGGCCAGTGTGTCCATCAACCAAGTAAACCAAAAATTGACCCTCTCACTTGACTTGGCTGATGAGAATCCTTTACCTTGCTTGGTTGGTTAACGAGAAGCCCTTACTTTGCTTGGTTGGTTGACATTACTCGATAGAATTTCCCGATTTGATATCTATACTAATCTACAGGAGCATACCAGTTCGAAGGAGGTGCTTTTGACACTCAATTGCCGCCACAGTCCCTGAATCGAGCCGATTCCGTTCATCTGTGATGACCTTCTTCGTCTGTGAGAATACCCGCTCACACTCAGCACTCATTGCAGGACAACTTGTAAGCATAGGGTGGTAGTAGTATAAGGTCACATGAATGAGTGTATTCTTCTGTGTATGTACAAATGTGTGATATGAGCTCTTAAGTAGTCGGACGCATTAGTCATGCCTGCAGAGCAGTTATGTGATGTGGTCCTAGGCTTACACACCCCCTTTAGGTTCGAACGCATGTTAGAAGCTAATGTGATCCTAGGCTACCCTCTGCCTTGTGACAGGCAGAGCTGCATTAGGTGCGGGCTAGTACCGCTAACGGCGCAGTTCTAGGTAGGCGATCGTCTGCCGTCGCAGTGTTAGTAGACCTCTGCTCTATATAATAAGCGCCCCCAGAGCTTGTAAGTTTTTGAGGTCCTTTTCGCTTCGCGCTCATTTTGGTCGGGTAGTGCTTAACCTTTTAGCTGAGCTAGATGCCTTTAGCTGAGCTTAATGCCCTAATATAGGAAAGGGTCGGAAGCAGAGTTGCTATCAGTTAATCAGTTAGTTGTCAGTTCATCTATGCGGCTCAAACTGTTAGTCCGGGAGTAGTAAACTGACCTAACTAACTGCTAAGATATTTTTAGAGTCGCGAACTAAAACTAAACTAACTGCTAAGACCGCTATCTTCGTGTTGCACTAACTGATTGATTGCTATCTAATTGCTATAGTTAATAGTCGTATTTACTAAGATAATCTTGTACTGCGGCGATCTTAGCTATTGTATGCCCTCCTGCTAGTGTTTTAAGACCTAACTGCCGCTAGCTCTTTAAGCACTGCAGCGCGTTAAGCAACTTAGGCTTTATTTGCAGCCGCTACGTGCCTAGCATGTCACTAAGCTCGCTAAACGTACGCTTACAATTAGCAGCTAAGGCTAGTATTATAAGCACGTTAATAGCAAACTTAGCAAGCGTTAGGTACTGCTGCGTCTGTAATTGCTAGTACTTAAGCGGATTAAGAGCTATCAGATCGTCCTCTGCGATCGCTAGTACGCGTTTCTACCGCTCGTACTTATCGCTAAGATGCTCCTCTACTTGCTTAACAGCAGCGTCTAATTGCAACTCTAGAAAGGCAGATCGCGACGCTATTAGATTAACAACACGCACTCTCTTTACTAGGCGCCTCTTATCGCTGTTGCTTATCGCGCTGCTAACTACTATTACTTCTTAAAAGCCTTTCTACATAGCTATAAAAGCGCGATAATTGTTTGTAAGCTACTTATCGCGGTAGTAAGTGTGAGGGGTAGTTATAGGTAATAGTATTTGCTTTACACTACAAGAGAATAGTAGAGGAAAGCTCTGTATTACTACACTAGGTAGGGAGGTCGTAAGAATAATTCTTACCCCTCTGCTAACGCGCGGGGCGCAGCTTATAAGCAGGTTTGGAGGCCAAGGCGATTACGAGAAAAGCAAACATGTTAAGACCATAATCGTCCCCCTTGTTTAGCCTCTGCTATCCTGTGTTACAATAGGATACTAAACTACGAGGCGTACGAGAGTTCGACGTTATTACGGATTACAAGAACTTAGAGTACTTTACTAAGAAGTAGAAGATAACAGAACGACACTGTAAGGACATAACCTCTCCTCAGCTACTACTTACTACGAGGTTTAGAGCTAAGGAGTAAAAGGCTACGTCTTACTACGAAGGCGCAAACTACTAGACCTTCGAAGGCCTAAACTACTAGACCTTCTACGGTCTAGTACGCCTTCGCTTCGCTTCTCTCTCTAGGCTATATAAGTACGCGTACGCTCTGCCTCTTCTAGGCTCTGCGTCTGCTATTTTCTCTACTCCGAATACAAGCTTCTACTCAACCAGTTCGCTCTTCTGCGCGTAAAGTCTGCCTTACAGACACGTACGCTAGTCTGTGGAACTTTCCCGCTTTGGCAATATGCGTATCTATTATTGCCCTAGAAAAGAGAACGTACAAGCTAATGCGCTATTCTGCCGTAACTAGGACTTACTACAGGATAATTTAGACGACCGTATTACTACTAGAGAATTTATAATGCTTACACCCGTATAACAATAAGAAGTTATAGGAATGTTCCTTGTATAACTAGACTAGGAACTGTTAATATTACTAATACTACCCTAGCCCCTAAACAAAGAGGAACTCCTAAGTTGCTACTAGACTATAGTATAAGCAGAAGACGCTACGTATTAAGAAGTGCTACACGCTATACAGGAAGGGCAATAGTCCTTATCTACGACTAGAAAGATAGCTGTGTCCCTTAGCGACTACTTAGTTAATAACAAAGGACAACTAAAGTAGAGGAACTGCGTGTAAGTTCCTAAGTCTAAGCCTTTTTGTACAGGCATAGTCTAAATTGCTTACCTATCCTTACAAATAGGTTATCCTAGACAAGAAGAAACCTATAGGATAGTCGCTAGAGAATAGTACTAGCTAAAGATAAGTAATAATATACGACATTTTGTACAAAACTATAAGCTCTATAGAAAAAGCACCCTATAGAGGGATAGAAGACATAGCTACCTACGTCCTCTGCTAGTTCCTAGCTGCACGTAGTAATATCTTACTATAGACTTTATTACAGGCCTGCCGCTATCCTAAGGGAACTCTAACTTAATAGTAGTAAAAGACTGCCTAAGTAAGGGAGTTATACTAATACCTATAGCTAAGATAGAGACGCTAGATGTTGCATAGGCCTTTGTACGAGAAGTATACTATTACTATAGTTTCCCTCTCTCTATTATATCTAATTACAGGCCCTAGTTTACAAGTGCCTTATAGTGTAATAGGCTAGAGCCTAGTTAGTGAGTCTGTAAGGGGCTACGCTTAGGGAGCTATCGCACAGGTATATTAGAGTTGTATTTAATAGAGAGCTAAGCTCTAGGCTACGTAGCTATCTATATATACTTAGGTGTAGAGCTGGAAGAACTATTAGCTAATAACGTCCGAGCGCCTATTAGGCCGAAGAAGGAGAAAACCGAGGTTATAGACGAGGATAAGAGAGCAAAGGGCTCTAGCCCGTCACAGAGTCCTTAATAATATCTCGGTCACGTGCGCGAGGCGCACTGTCTATAGATTCCGGGTGCCCCCCTAAGCACCTAGATTCTGTGCAAGCGAGCCTAGCAGAAGGTTATCCCAAGCCGCCGCCCCCTAAACGACCTTTAGAACCCTAGCTACCCGTAGTTCTCTTCTCTATTAAATACAACTCTAGTTGTCACGATGTTCCATCACCACAGGATTCCAGCCACAGACTGGTGAGCTACCGGGAACCCTTCGGGGCACCGTCGGATCACACCAGCCACAATCACGTGACGCAGGTATATATCATCCCTCTGAGAGGCTTGATAGCTCCTCAAGGATTCGTCTCAATACAAGCCTATACCGATATCTCAGTGCCTGCCCAACTACTCCTCACAATTCGAATCCTTCTCACTCCTTGTCGGACGGACAGTCGTTAAGATATCCTTTTCACTCCATTTCAAACACTTCGCTACAAGTGTTCCCATCAAAGCCGCGAAAAGATGAGCTCTTCACGCAATACACGAGGCAAGCAAGCTGCCCGTCGGGCAACCGACACCTCCCCAGACCGGGACCGCAGCGTTGCCAATCAATCCGCGACCAAGCAACAGGCTCAACGCGAAACCACCACGCAAGAGGATGAACTCCTTCAGCGTGAGACACCTGAGGGTGTTCACCGCAACGAGCCCGAGGGCCGTCGCGATAATGGCGAGGACTCCTCTGAGGGGGAAGCCTCCGACCCCGAAAACCCTCCAGGGACCCCTCGGAGCGAAGAAGGGCAGCCCTTGCGCAACCCCTTACTCAACCACGGGAAGGCGCGCAGCACCTTACCCATTGGATCGCATCGATCAGCGGCAGGGGATCCATCCCTCTACCGCACCCAGTCAGCAACAGAGCTTCGTACTGCGCATATGCACCACGATAATGCTGCAGCGTCTAGTACTACCATACCTTCCCATGATGGGATAGGCAACAACAACAACGGCGCAACCCATGGCTCCACCCATAGGCCGTCGCATGCCCAGACACCAGCCGCTAGCACCCAAGATTAGGTAGCCCAAGTAACAAACGCCCTTTGGGAAGCCGAAGACAGAGGCGAACCCGAAGAGCGCCTAGCAAGACTCCG